TTGAAATCAACGGGCTGAATTTTGTCAACAAACTTTTAACCCAATATTTGTAATTCAACTTTGTACAAATAGTCTTATTTTATTATAGTTTGTAAAGAAAATACATATTGAAAAATAAAAAGTTAGATATTATTGAATTACAATAAGGTTGTAATAGTACGAAAAATGATTATCACTTAATGTAATTCAATCCACATCTTATTCTCCTTTTGTTTTACGTTTACATTAATGCAATCCAATGGAAGATCTCTCAAAGATTTGATATTGAAACTACAAACTAAAATTATTTTATTTATTAAATTATCATTTTACTTAAAAGTGGTATCATAACAGGCTAATAAGCAAATTAAAAATTGCCAAAGTTAGTTTGATCAAATACTTCATAAATTAACATAAAAACTAAATGAAATCAATTATTAATATTTACAGACAGCGGTCTCTTTCCAAGAAGCTTTGTACAATGAATTTTGTGTGGACGATTTTCCGCTTTCCAGATCGAACGCGTTAACTCAAGAGTCAACAGACGGAACCACCGGGTTTCTTGAACGCCAACTCAATACAACTCGAATCCAATTCAGCTTGACTCGCCAACCAGCTCAAACTCGTCCTCCACAATAACGGCGTCAGCGTCCCACCACGTTTCGCCGCTAGGTTCCGTCACATTCTCCTCCATAGGAGTCTTCAATTTCCTTATGTCACCAACAGTTAAAGCCCCAGTAACGCCGTTTCTGACATAAACCTTTTCAACTCCGCCAGCAGAGACCGCCGCCGCCGCGGTGGAGGTCGTTGGGCCCCATTCAGCATATATAGCCGGAATCCCACTTGGCATTCTCTTGTCATAAGCACCCAAAACCACCGCCGGAGATGCCATCACAAAGGCCGGAATATTCCAACTTCGGCCAAAAGAATGGCCGTTTTTCTCTTCATGATCAAAATCCCATAAAGAAACTACGCTTTTAGAGTTATTATTATCATTATCTTCAACAAAATTCAAACCTAAATCTAAACTATCCCAAAGCTTTACAACATGTTTCCCGCAAGCAAATTCCGACCACGCAAAGCTTTCACCGCCGCTGCTCCGCCGCCTCAAATTACCATTTTGCCGCCCTTTTACACAAAAATCTCCACCAATTTTCCGTTGATCTGAAAACGAAGTTGTTTGAATATTTTCCTCCTCTTCTTCTTCCGAAGAAATCGAGGAACAATCATCGCCTTCACTAAACTCAAAATCTTCAGTGCCAGTAGAAGGGTGTGGAGAAGGCTTAATGAGTGAATAGAAATGGATAAAAATGAGTTTGATTCTCTTGATTATGCTTCTAAGAGTTGCAAAAAGTAGAAAAATCACAGCACCCCATTTCCAAAAACTGAAGACTTGAGGTGCCTTTTCAGTGCCGGAAAGTGAAAAGAAACGTGAAATCAAAGTTGGGTTCTGCAGGCATTCAAAATCACTTATCATTTTCATTTCTGGAATTTCCATGTTCATCAATCTTTCTCCAAAGCTTTTTCAATTATGTATGTTCGTGTATGTGCGTGTGTTGGGTTGGTTGGGAATTGGGATTATGCGTTGAAGAACTGTGATAACGGGGGAGGAAAATTTTCAAGTGGAAGAGGAGAGAACAGGAGAAGGTTGGGGAGGTTAAGGAATGGAATATATAACGGTGGAGAGGGTGTGGGGGCATTCATTCACGAATGGGTCAAAAACATTGCTAGTCACCAAACTTATAGAGCTTTACGTTTTAGGTATCAAACTATATTTTGTTCTAAACTAGTTAATGAACTTTTTTTGGTTTCAATTTAGAGCACTCCGTCTGTTTTCTTCATATATATTGTAGGTCATGTCGTCAATTTTGTTCATATTGGGTGGATAAAATTGTTAAACTATTAATTTAAATAGTACGACTTCACGATTCGAAAATGATAAATAATTTGAATTTGCATTAAAGATTGCAAAAATGAAGGATGGCTATGATCTCGTTGTTTGATCAAAACTGATCATTATTGGCTTTTCAACTTTATTTTTGATGAATTAATGGGGCTCGGCAAATGGACATTTGGGTTGAGTTTCATTTTGAGTTAAAGCTCACATTAAAACTAATGAAAACAACTAAAAAGGCAAATAGTAAAAGCTCTAATTTGAAATCTCCTTGATTCTTTGTTGCCTCTTCGTGAAATCGATGTTGGCATTATGTTGGGCTAACAACATAAAAGTAAATAATTGTATGATAGAAGTTTTTTTTTTAACTATTCATATTTCAAGTGAGATATAAAAAAATATTTTATATATGTAAATTATACAGTTGATGAGATTTTTGAAATTCACAAAGACGAAATTAATTGTAATGAAGATTTTGAGAGAGAATGTTTTTTCCATGCCTATATTGGACTGAGCAATGAAATTGTTGAGGACGTTGGTGTGCCTTTATTTCAATAGTAATGAAATGATGTCATTAAAACACAAATAGAAACATTCTTTTTTATTATTGATTGACATGTTCGAAACTGCGTGCGTAACTTGAAACAAAAATGAAAATTAGGTGATCCAATCGAAGCAAAAATAAAAGATGTGTGGTTAATTTGGAACAAAATGAAGTTGGGTGATGAAAGGGAAACGATATTATATGTTCTTTTTGAACATTAAAAAATGCAAAAAGCAGCAAAATTGTTGGTGGACAAAAAGATAGGAGACTTGTCTAAAGCTACAAAATTCCTTTTTTTTTTTTTTGAAAACAAAATTAATATAGGAAGACAGTTGTCTTGACAGAATTAATAATTTAATATAGAGCTGGCTCATTCATGACTCAGCAACAATTCTAGCTTTATGGGGGCTGATCCCACTGACAATTTAAGCCATCGGGATTTTGACACGTGTTAAGTGTTTATTGCTTGTGGGACAATGTCCTCTTTCACTTTTTTATTTTCTATCACATAATTTCTCGATAAAATAATATTATATTTAAANNNTCGATAAAATAATATTATATTTAAATTCAATTTTTTTTTTATATTTGAATTACACATACTCCAAAAAATCACACTAATTTAATTCTTGGAGTGTCATATGTCCCCTATTATCTTGTTTAATTATTATAATGGTGGAGTTAGGTTAATGGGTTTAAATTATTTTTGAAGTTTTAATAAATATTTAGCCTAATTTTGCATTTCAGAACTTGTTGGTAGCCCTTTATATTTTTAATACCTCGACGTGTTACTTCTTATTAACTGGAAAATGAAGAAATACATATAATTTTTTTTTTTAATAAATCGATTCAATAAAATTTGACATATTCTCATTTTTTATGAGGTAAAGTGACGATATATCAAAAAAAGTATCAAATAAAAAGCTATTTATAGACATAGATTTCAACTCAAACTAAGGAATTAATCATTTTTACTTGTTAGGTTAATGGGTTTAAATTATATTTGAAATTTTCTAAATATTTATATCTATTTATGGTAAGGATTTGACTCATTTAAGAATTTATGATTTCAAAAAATAAAATAAAAAATTATTAAACATTTATACATTAATAAAAATTAATTGTTCTCCACAAATGCGAAATGATTACGATAAATGTCTTTTATCATCAAACACCGAATTTATTGCTATTACTCTAATAAAGAAATGTAACATTTCATGATTTTTAAAGATTCATGTGATAATGTATATCAAAATTTTGATACGACTATCGATCGCAATGTTCATTTTATTTTTTTCAAACGGTGAATTCATTGTTACTTATACTCTACTAATGATCATTCCAATCAACTCACCAAAAGCCAAATATGCCATGCTTGTTAGCCACATGAAGCGTTTGGTGAATGGCTTAAGATTACCCACGTTTTAATATTTTGCTTATCCAATTCCACACACTTTGTTTTTCATTTGCGTGGAGTACTTATCCTTTTGTATTCTCAATCCTTGAAGTGGAATAGTGCGAGTTTTGGACCAATAACCAAAATTTGGTATTATCTTTGCACATATTGATTTTTAAAAAATAATTAATCGTACTATCGGATAAACTATTATGGATGGCATTTGATTGTTAAATTTTTTTTTAATGAAAAATACTTTTCACCTTTGAAAATATACACAGTTTTCCTTATTTTTGAGGAAAATACCTTTTTCGGGAGGTAGTTTTTTGTTTTCCTATATATCAATCAAAAACACTTTTAATATAATACAAATTAACCTGTTTGACATCCATTCTTATTTCATTCTCATTCTCATTTTTTTCTTTTTTCATTTCAACCACACATTATCTCAATAAAATAATATTACGCACAAATCTAAAATTTTTCATAACTTTTCCGCCACACATTCTCTCATTAATCATTATTCCAAAAATTTTATTCACCAAAAAAAGGGGGAAAAACTATGTTTCAATTTTATAGTCACTCTTTTTTTCAATAAAATTGTACGTATTAGGCCTTTAATTATATAGCTAGCACGGACATGTTTGTTTTCTAGTCTTTGTTTGGTGGAGATTAAAATTAGATTTTTAATAGATTTTGGTAAAAAATGATGAAATATGTGGTTGAATAGTTGTGAATTCAATAAAATGTGTTGTTAATATTAATTGTTAATTTTGACTTAAATTAAAATGACCACACATGGACTAGTGTGTTTGGGACACATTCTTTTGAAAGAATGTATTATTAAATAGTAGATTGATGGAGAATGTGTGATTTAAAATGAATGAAAAGTTATTGATATAATGGAAAATATTATTTTATTGAAAAATGTGTGGTTGAAAATGAATAGAAGAATGAGAATGAAAAAAATAATGTGTACCAAACATGGTTAAACTGCTATAGAGAAGCGGTCATAAACTGCTATTAATTGAATTATTAAATACTTCATGTCTAATAAATTATTTTTTTATAAAAAGGAAATGAATAGTAATTAATTTCAAGTGTCAATACCATCTATTATTATTGGTTTTTCATTATTAAAGTATCGTCAGACAGACAGCCCTGGTTTGACAGGAAAATGACTGCAACGCCTTACAATATTGAATTCAACAATCTTAATAATTTATAAATTAAACTTTTATATCATCACCTAATCGAATATTATACAGGTTTGCTTACGTGGTTATGTCTTTTCGATGCTAACCCAACTTTTCTCTACATCACACAGTATTAATACATTATTCTTTTTTTTAGATGAGCCGCATTCCTGACGACCCTCATTTAATACATTATTCTTTTTTGCTGTATGTGAGAAGGGTTGGGGGAAATAATGGTAAAATCGCTGCGACTCAAAAACTATGAATTTTTCCTCTTTTTTCAACCCAAGAGAGATCGACCTTGAGAACATAGTAGATAGAAACAATTACAATATTTCATACACCAATGGTAAGAATGACTATTTGACGAACTCACTCTTTTCTTCTAGTTATGGAAAAATAAAGTTGAAAGCCTCGAGAACATGTGCAAAATATAGGCCTTTGATAAAGCACTTCATTGCCTAAAAGTTGAGCTACCACTATTCCAATAGTTCCTTGAGAATATCGTACAATCCTTTGTTCATACCTTTGAACAAGAATTAAATTTGTAAATTGAAGCCTCTAACAAATGAAAGGACAATTCTACTTGTACATAG